CTTTGCCTCCACATCTTTCACCTTTTGGGAGAGTCTCGTTTCAGCATTGGCCAGATCTTGGGAGAGTTGCGAGATTCTCGCCTCAGCGTCAAGCACAGGCTGAAGGGCAGCTGCCACCTTTTGGGAGATGGCATTGGTCAATTGATCCTGGAATTTGGCCATCTGCTTTTCCGTAGTGAGCTGCTCGTTTACCATGACCTGATCATCTTCGACATTGCGCAAGTTGTCCATCTCTGAAATGAACGCTACACATGTCGCATCTTTGACAAACTCCATGAGGTCTGTTGACTCCATCAAGATCAGAGGGAGCAAGATCAAGACCGACTGGGACAAGAATTCATTCACCAGCAAAGAGCAAAAGAGTCGCAACTTTGGCCAATGATCAGAGTTGAAGAACTCTTGAAAGTAGGGCTCCCAAAAAGGTAGGTACTCACTATGCTCAAACGAATGCGCCCGAATTCGCAACACGGTACTGACAAGTGCACCACACATGTAGAAGAAGACTTGTTGATCTGTGAAATCTTCCACCTTGTCCAGACCAAACACTGTCATTGCAACAAGACAGTAGAGCATGAGCTGGACTGCCAACATTGCGAGACATTCAAAAAGATTCCCAGCATGAAGGTCCGTGTACACTGACACTGGCGGAAGCCGAGGGATATTTTTCTCACTTTGTGGCTTCACACACAATACCTTCACGAGGTCAAAGAAGCAGGGGAAGAAGAAATACACGAACACCACAAGAACGGCATGTTGAGGGGAATGCTTCAACATTGCGAACAGTAGAAGAAATAGCCCACAGCTCTCCAACAAAGTGCCGACCGACCACAACGTGCTTCGGAATTGTATGCTAGCTTGCCAAGCTTGCGGGACACTCCCGGCACAAAACCACTCAGTTTTGCGACAAAACCATGTAGCACAAAAAGCGCCAAGAAGAACGAGCCCAAGTACAAATTGCCATTGTTGAGCAACTTCTCCAAAATCATAGTCTTCGTCAAAGAGTGGTCTGTCAAATAGCCCCACAAGACTGAAGCCTGATGGCGAATCCATGGACACTTCAGGTGGTGCTGTGATTGACGTAGTCGATAGTGTTGTCACGTCCCATGGCGCTGCCGATGTCAGGAAAGCGGTTGTGGTTAACATCTTGCACACACCACCTCGATAAAAAACAACTACCAGTGAGAGACTGAATTAAGAACCCCCCTCGCCTGGTGAGTGACGCGAAGGCTCCCAACCCAGTCACGCAAGTGCTTGTCAATCTTGGCGCCCGGACAAGGAAGTGAAGAAATAGGTGGGCACGAGGCATGGCACAATGATGAAGAGACTGAACGAATAAACGATTCAAAAATATAAGCCGCAAACTCTAACTGCTGCGACCATCGTCCACCTCATCCAAAACCAAAAGCCCCATGCAAAGTTAGAACCAAAAAAAAACACAACAAAACACAACAGCAACAACAATCAGCCTCCTCGTTGAATATCACCGAACAGAGTGATTTTTAGCACCAAAATTTCCCCAGAAACCCCCAGAGAATAACGACAAAGGCTCAACAAAAATTTGTGTGAGCCAAAAAAATCAACGAGGAGGTGATGAACAAAAACTCCCCAGAACCCCCCTTTTACCATTTTTTTGGAGGCGGAGGCAATACATGTCTTGATCAAACAATGCATCTAAGGGGGTAGGTCTCTGGCATTTCCCCGCCACGGAGGGTAAAGATCAGGATGACGCGGCCTTTCTTGGCACGTCACGACCAGCCTAGTGGGGCAAGTTCCACGCACACAGCATTGAATCCCGTGCACGCGCGGTGCGCACGGGATCTAATGGCACTCCCAAGGCCCACCAGATTCACCATAGCTGGGCATCCCGCCAGCACCTTCCACGTCCTTGGAGCGAAGGTGGAACCGCCCGACCATGTGGAAACCTCGTTTTACCCACCACAGCGACCTGTTCCGCACACCTGTTCCTTTCTCACACGGACTGGCAAAGTCCAGCAGAAAAGCCGAAGGCTCTGAGCCGCCGTCCGAGTCAGCGGACTCCGAAGAGGACTTGGACCTGGGGAAGGAAGTCCCAAGCGCTGGAGTTGTACACGGGCCATATGTTGGGTGTATCAGGCATATCCCAACCTCACAGGGCCTCTCCCAACCTCCCAGGGCCCAGTGGATGATGATGGGGCCTGGTGGCAGGCCGACATCTCTTGTGAAATAGATGAAAACAGTGATGTTCCCTGTGGACCGGCAGACTGGGACATATATACTGCCCTCAGGAAGGAGATGGAAGGGACCAAATGTGATGATCAAACATAAGAGGCATCCATTCCAAGGTTCCAAGGGGTTCAGCCAGGCTCATCCATCCCATTTCATGAGGCGCCCATTGTCATTATCACAAGGGCTTCATCGTTCGGCACCCAGCCGAAAGCACCTCAACAAGGCGCTCACGGCTCACGCCCCAGAAACAGCGCACGGCAGCTTGCATGCGCACGGCGGATCCAGCCATTGGGGTGCTTTCTTCGGACCAGTTAGTTCGGCGTGGGGGCAATGAGCAGCTCAGCCCAAGTTCGGCGCATTGTTGCGGTCCCAAGGTGCTGAAAAGAGTAGTCAACTCGATCTATTTCACTTGAAAAGCATTTGCAACTCGAATTGGTCGAGAGCTGAGTCGTCCCTTGGTCCATGTGACCCACCGACGTGGGTCGTCCGCGTCGGACCCACCCACCGAAAGAAGTCCGGCACCGTCGCTGGGCTTGGGGGTCGCAGATTTAACACATAGCCCTATAGCCTTCCGTTTGACCATTACGGTAAGATCTGTTGTCAAACTAATAGTTCTTCGGTAAGAGCCATTAAACTAATGGTGCTTGGAATCCTAGGGATCGCGAGTGCTTGTTCGATGCACGCGAGGAACACCACAGCTAGCCACAGGCGGGCCTCGTCTTGTAGGACGATTGCTACTGACTCCGAAAAGAACCAATTCTCTTCAACAACCTCCCTGCAATACAACACGAGCTGCATTGGAGGGCTGATTTTAAGGATGGCTCAAACACCTACAGCACCTACTAATATATTACTATATTATATATATATATATATTCTAAGTTGTTGAGAAGCACTCCACCAGGTGTCTAGAACCAACATGAACATAAACCAACTCAACAAAAAGAACTGAACAAGTTCCTTCCAGATTCACCTCTCCCCAAAACCTCTTGCGACCCGAAGAGCGGAGACCAGCTAACCTTCGCTACAGGAGCGGCTTTAGCACCTCAGCGGTCGACTGCTGAGTGACGAGTCCGCTTCCAGGAAAAGTTCCACGAGTGAAACCTGGTGCTTCTTGATACTGACCTTCCTCATCTTCCACACATGATTCGTAGGGTAAAGTGGCGGAATTTGGGGACACTTCACATATCTTCAAAGGAAAAAACAGTAGATTCAGTAGATGTCACCCATCTGTGACTCAGCACCGAACGGAGTACCCCCTCTCTTCAGCACCGAACGGACTCCGAATTGGACTCCCGCTGGGCGGAAACGCCCTCTGGGCAGACCGAACGGAGCTTCTCCAGCGCGATCTGCCGCAGCTTCTCCAGTCTGGGGGCGAAAGGAATGGCGAAAGGAAAGGACACGGGCCAAACAAAGCTGGATGACAAATGGATGAAAACGAACACAACTATACCTTTTTATGGTTGTGTATGTGTGCAATTGTGTGCATCTGGGATGCTTGACGTGTTTTTTGTGTGTTTTTGGTTTGCGCATTTTCCCGGCTACCAGCACAAGATCAAACGGAAATGTCATTTGTGCATGGGCGAGGACTGAAACCTTTTTTGTCTACTGCGATGTCGGCTTTTGTTTGAGATGGACTTGCCATACCCATCCGGGATGGACCCCAAAACACCGTCAAACCGCCTTCGTCTGCGGCGTCGGATCCCGATCCGTCAGCGCAGGGTCCAACAAGTTCTACGAAAGAGGGGCGAAGAGACATCACAATCACAGTCCATCAACAAAAACAGTGGTTTCAGTGGTCCGATATGGGCACCATTCCCCCAAGTTCGGTGACTTCTAAGGACCCCGATAGAACTGCCTGTGCCACGGGGTGCCTGTGCCATTTTCTTCAAGAGAAACGAAGACATCGGCCTGACTGCAAAGCTGTCGTCCTTCTCGTCGTTGTCGTCTTTCGAGGCCATGGCCGGCCCACATCGTTTGAACCAGGTGTCACTACTCAACGATGAAAGGCTATCTGCATGGCTTGGTCACTGGCCTTGTCACTGGCCTAGTCAGGACGACGCGCTATCTGATGCAAAGGTGCTTTTTGGCGCACACGCACTGTTCATCTGCCTTCCGTGAACACGTCCATGCGGGGTTTCCTGTTTTTGAGAAAAGCATATTTTAAGCAATTTAGAGCCAACTGATTGAGAACTGGAGGTCTTAAGGGCTTCTGCAATATCCGACTTCCAATGGCGGTATGGGTCAGCACCCTTGAGTCGTTCGGGCAGAGCTTAAATTGTTACACAGAAATTATCCCAGCAGAATTCAACAGGCTAATGAGTCATGAGGATAACTTTTGACGACTCGGACTGTTTGTTTCACAAAGGCACCCACATGTCACATGTTTTTTCCGCATGTCCTCAAGATTCTGCTTCGCCTCACTCAAACCATGTCCTTTGGGCTCTGACGCCCGGAGAGTATCAAAGCTTTCTCCTGTTGGGCTTTGTAAATCTTGGATTGGCTGGAGATGTAAAAGATCTTGCCAATTTCACAGGCCAGCAAAACACACAAGGAACACGCCATGGCCGTGGCAAGTTGGATCGGGCTAAGAGGTACAAACTCCAGAAGCTTGGCCAGTGGCGGGACGTAAACGAGCAAACACATCGTCAGCAGGTTGCATAGAAAGGTGCTGTTGAACCAGGCATTCTGGAAAAAGGCCATTCTCAGCACACTCTTCTCACTTCGGAAGCACATGATGGCCAAGAGTTCCCCAAACATGATGGTCACGAAGGACATGGTTTGAGCCAACCTCAAGCCATGATCCATGCAACTGATCCTCAAGACGGGTCGAACTTCTGAATCTTTCCAGCACCAACGGCTGACGTCCCTTGCGCAAGGCATCACCAAACCAGCTTGACCCTTCCAGTCGCCGTTGTCGATGGAGAGTTCCCACAGGTTCTTCGAGAAATCCATGCGCGGATCCAGCACCTCTCACCACGGTGGGCACGCGAAGCGCCCGTGTGGAAATGCATGTGGCTCGGAGAACACCCCCGCCAGTCGACATGTAGGACTCGTGTGTCGACATACTACACTCCAACGAACGCATCACATGGAAGTGGAAGGCCCCCCACCCTTCGCAAAAGGAACGTGCAATTCTCAGGGCCACGCTATACTTGAGAGAGGAGGGGGTGAACGAAAGGTAGCAGGCAATCACAAGCAACCCTGGTAGAAGTCCATGACGGGGTGAACCGGCGCAGGGGGGATTTGATCCCCCCCGACGAACAGAATCAACTCTTACAGGACCAAACTCAATGCACAATCCCAACTCCTGATTGTAATACATTTTTGCTAAAGCAAGGAGAACTCAGGTAGCTCAAGCTACCTTTCGTGACATATCTACTGCATTTTCCCGGACCCAGACCAATGAGGTCCCTAAGACCTATAGGGGTCTGTCTTAAGACCGGTCTGGTTGCGACGTGGAGCCGAGCAGGCAGGGTGCCCTGCCTGTGAGCTTCCCCATTGATCCACCACACGAGCCTGCCACAGACCCTCCGCAACCCGACAGCTGCAGTGAAAGGGCCGGCTATCTGCTTCGTAGTGACCATTGGCGTCTTCCCAACCTGCAGACGGTACGTCTTCATGGTGATCATTTTGACGCATTTTGATCGCGAATGGATGCGAATGTCACATGGACAAACAACTTCACCTTTTTTGCCCAAGACGGTTGGCTTCAGCATACTCTTCAAGCATCACATTGATCAAGCTAAGCATACTCAACCTACTGAACCAAACCTCATGTCAATGTCCACACACCCTCAGCTAGCTTTCGTTGTCATACACGTGTACTGTACATGTGTTCCAGCCGCACCTGCGTGTTCGCAAACGCTCAGGCCATTCTTCACGTCCGTCACCTTGGAGCTTCCCATCAGCGCCTGGTTCGTGACGTAGCCGATGGATCCACTACAGCCCAGCAGCAGTGAGGAATAGACGGCCACCGGGAAGAAGATCACAAAGGGCACCATTCGCAGCAACACCTCACCGTCGGGTTCAGGGCAGCATAACGTGGCATAACGTGGCACAACTCTTCTGACTCAGGGCGGGGTGCTGAAATTTCACCACGTGCTCGGTTGAACCGTTGAACCGCTCGGGGTGACTTGAGGTCTGCTGTCACCTGCAGTGGACACTTAGCTGTTTTGCTTGGGGGAAGCACTTCCCTTGATCCAAATTGAGCAGACCGCGCATCCACCCTACATGCTTCACTTCCCACCGATGCGTCCACGTGCGCCTGAGTCTTCGAGACCAAGCCTTTCTTCACATCGCGGGGAGGGACTTTCATCGCATAGGGCTCGGCCAGCTCGAAGGCCAAGCAAAGGGTGCTGGCCCCATGTGTGATGGCCATGTTCAGGAGTTGCGGTGTGGGCTTCAAGACTGGAGGCACTCCTGGTCGACGTCGTTGTGTCTCTGGAAAAGTCGAATCGACCCGATAAAAGACAAGCCATGCAACTGGCCCAGGCGGTTGTCTAGTCTATGCTGAAAGGAGCACCTCAACCTCGTTGCTTTGCTATGCTTTGCTTACCCCTTTGAGGAACCCATGTTCTCCTGGACTTCCGAACCAGCAACTCCAAGGCAATGGACATATGAAGCACCAGACGCTCTGTCTAGGAGCGAAACTTTGGGAAGCGACGACCCAACATGACTCCAATTACGGCCAACAACAGGTTGCACTTAAGTCCATCAGTCAGTTTCTGCCTCTGCACTTCACCGCTCACTCACCCTTCTTGACCAAGAAACAAGGCACATGCGCTAACACGAACACATACTACTACCACACCCATCACATCCCACCCGCCGGGAGCGCGCCAGTAGCGGAAGCAAGGCAACGTAAGTAGCTCATGGCGCTCCTAGCGTCATGGAGAGCAACAAGCTCGTGAGCTCCGCGAACTTCATGCTGAGATTCACCGTCAAATACTTCTGAGCATTCCCGAAGATCCGGCGACCCTCCTCGATCGCCAGCTGGATGGTCGAAAAGTTGTCATCCAGCAGGATCAGGTCGCCTCACTGAGGTTTCTTAGGAAAAAATCAAAACTAACTGAAGTGGATGATGCCAACTGAAGGAGGAGAACAAAAAAGGGGAGCCGTTCTTCATCTTCTTCAACCCTTCGTACGCACTGGTACGTAGGAGTACGTAGCTTCATCGTGGTTCATCCGCCATGTTTGTAGTCTTAAGCTGCAAGGTCACTTGCATTCTTCGTCACGGCAGTGCCAGTGATGCCCATCGCCACACCCACATCCGCCGCCTTCAGCGCCGGCGCGTCGTTCACTCCATCGCCCGTCATCGCAACGATATGCCCCGCCGCTCGCAGGGATTCCACGATGGCCACCTGGTGAGAACCCAGTCACATGAGGCCAGTGCTACTACTGGTAACACGGGCATCGCGGCATCCATCGCGGCATCGCTACGGAGCGTTCGGACGCTACGAACGTAGCTCCTGGCCGTACTACTAGTAACAAAAAGCTACGAGTAACAAGGGTAAAAGCTCCATTTGGGTAGGAATAAAGCTTTCACGGCTCCATCGTCTCTTCATCCTCCGGCGGTATTGAAAAATCGAAGAAACAGCCTGATTCTAACCCATGGGACAGTTGGGGACCCCTAGGGCCCATACAAACAGCGGAAGTGGGGGCTTGGCGCGCCAGGGCCATGCTTGCTGATCTTGTCACTCTTCCGTTCCTTTGTTTTTTTCGTTCTCTCATCCCTCTTCACTATCACTATGTACACCTATGTAGACCTTAAGCCTTAAGCCTTATGATTTGGATATGCCCACTTCACTCGCATCAAACTACTCATGACCGGAAGTCCTCTGGAACGGAAGTCCTCGGCAGGCCACGCGCCTTATCGGAGGGCTGCGCTCGGGCGAAGCACTTCACCCGGGAAGTGATCTCCAAAAGGTCCTCTTCTGACTTGAACTCCGGCTCGGGATCCTCCCACACCGCCCACGGGCGGAAAACGCCGCGCCACACAGGCTAGCAGGCACCAAAATGAACCGGGTGGCACAGAAACGGCTAGCAGGGATTCCGAGAGGGAAACCTATTTGGTGAATCGCTTCACCTTAAGAATGTTGGAGTGCGTCTTAAAATTTAAAATATAACTCCCAGTTCAGTCTGCCGAACTAAGAGGAGTTCGAGCTGGCTCAAAACTCCGATTATCCTCCCGACATCTCTCGTCCTGTGGTCCACGTTGATCGTGAATCGACAACCTTCGGGAGCCAGGCTTGGAAGACCCCGTGCTGCCGCGTGCAGCGCTGCCGCGGCTCACGGCGCGGGGCGGAGCCGCGCTCAGTAGCTCCTGCGCCTGCCGCGAGAGGCGCCGGTCGGGTTGCAGTCGGACGGGCTCATGGAGCTCAGCACAGCTGGCGGCCACCTGGGCAAGACGAAGGTGGCGGCCCCGGAAGAGCCATGCCAATGAGTGAACTGCAAGCACCATGCGCGCGTGCGGCAAGGGCGTGCAACAAAAAAGGCGAGCACGGCAAGCAAACAAAAGAGCACCAAAAAGAGGAGCAAGCCATGGTGGGAAAGGGTTCTGGTTGATGGGTGTCCTCTCTCTCTCTCTCGCGAAAAGGTGGAGAGAAGGAGTTGGAACTGGAGAATGGGGCCCCAAACATCCCCAAACAAAAAGGAAAGCATCACTTCACTCTGGTCCTTTTCACGATCGACCGATCCCCCAAACCAAAAAAACCTAATAAAGTGAGGTCCTTTTTGAGGCGACTTCGGCTTCAGAGCCGGTTCCGCCCAGCGACCGTTTCGTCATCATGTGGCTGCAAGAGCCCGATCTGCTTTCCAATGGCGGCGGCTGTGGCTTGCTGGTCGCCCGTGATCATCACCACGCGAATCCCGGCTTCTTGACAGGTGCGTATACTCGAGGGTACCGATGCGCGTGGCGGATCGTAGATGCCCCACAAGCCTCGCAGAAGTGACCAAGTGC